TTTGAAAAGATATGTCTAATACCATAACAAAATCCCTGAAAATGTGTTTATATTATGCTTGTACTTTTGAACACTTAAAGCAAATAAGATAAGATGTATTCAGTGAGATTTTGTCACACTGGATAGAGCCACTGTAGCATTTTCCACATTTTTAAGTCTTTGTGGTAAGCTTAGAAAACCAGCTGTCTGTGGTAACTTTGGAATGTCTCCATGAATCTCCTCATCTAGCTGGATAAGACACTGAAAATTCCAAAGTATTGCTTTAATGTTAACCCCATTTTTATTTTTCCAAGGTTTTGACGCTGCCTGCCATGTTTCTGTACGTAGGTGTGCGCGTAAAATGTCAACACAATATGTCAGCCTACACTGCATATCTCTGGAATTTGTCTCATAGTGGTCCAAACGACTGCTAACTGTTATTAATCAGTTATGGAGCAATGTAAACTCAGTGACATCGACAGATGGATTAACAGGAGCTTTTGACACAAATTACCGACAGTGTCTTTTGGAGCAGTCAGTGTGATATAGAGCAGGTTAACAGGTTAACTGATAGTTCTTCCACAATGAACAACACATCTGGAAAAAGCACTAGTGTTCCAACTCACACTTTGGGTCATTTCTGACAGTGACTAATATACACAACTTGTCACCGTGTTTGTTCATTGGGTGCAACTGAAGCACAGTGACCCTGATAGCGCTGAAGGTTCACCTCCCATCTAGTCCCCTTTGATAAGGAAAGCCCCAATTTAGACAACGGTGAGGCGTTGATTTGAAGAGTGCCTGATATTTATAGGTGGCAAACAGCTAAAACAGTTATTTACTAGAGGAAAGAGGCAAGCCCGATGATACACACATAGTATGACTCAGACTCTTAAATGCGTGATGTGGATGTGGCATTTGGTCTCAATTAATTTGTTTTCAGTGTTTTTGTCTTTGTATATCAAACAACAGTGGTTGTGCAATTAAAGGAGGGGTTTAAACATAAGAGTTGTGTTTTACTGGTCGCTGACAAAAACTCCAGGAGGACGGTTTTCAGGAACTCTTACTGCTTTTCAGCCATTTCAAAGCAGACAGTCAGAAAGTGCTTCTTCTTCGTAGCAACACATGGTGGTCCTGCCCTGGAGCAAGCCTGGGATTACTGATTCAATTAAGGTGTCCCTATTCATATTTCATAAACACTAGGGTTCATGGATAGATGTCCACAGTCATACACACCAAGGAGCAACGATTTTATGCTGAGGGGTTTTCTTTGAGCAAAAGATCTTGTGCATTTTGATGCAGTGCACGGCACTGCCCTGCTGCTTTTCCGCGCATCCCCCTCTGTTTTCGTTTTGCTGCTGACGGAAATGTGTCTGCCATTTCTGTATGCGCTTAAATCACCCACCAGTGAGGTAGAAAAAACAGCAGTAAGTACATGTTGAAGGCAGATGTTTAGTCTGTGCCTTTCACCATTATTATTATATGTATCTGTCAGCCAAAAGCAATCATGGTTAAACATATTTAAAACCAATGGTCAAGGCAGAGAGTATTAAAGAATTTTTTTTCTCAAACGGCCTGATTTAGCCTTATTTTAAACGTGGAGTCATTTTACTGTACAAGGCATTAAACTTTGACTTCACAAACCCATGTAAACAACGTATATGCGTTCAGAAAAATTCACCCTCACCCCCTCACCTGTAGGTTATGTTGATGGTTACCATGATGATGGATGAGAATCCAAAAGAGACCAGATGGCAACTTCCACACATCACTCCAGAGGCGTAACCCATTCCTCCTCTTCACAGTCTGTGACCACAGACCACTGCCTTGGTCTGTATTTCCCATTACTATACCTATAACAAAGAAATATGTCCTGAAAGCTGAATCACAGGAAGAAGAAAATGGTGACCACATAGCATTTTTGATAACTGTTTTGTAACCACCTGAGCTTTGACACATTGTGGTCTTTAGCATTAGTTTTTGCAAAGGGTGAATTCATTTACTATACTTTGGTCCCATAGACATCCATGCAAGATATACACCCACATAGGGCCTCAGCTGAGGTTTGACAGCACACGGTTGGAGAGAGGTTGAGCACAAATGGGCTGTGACAGAGTATATACAGACTTATTTCCACTTATCTCAAGACTTAGGTTAAAAGTGGTTCCAAGTATAAATTCATATGCATGAAGGTGTGCACAGTAGGTCTTATACTGTAATACTCACACTCAGCAGACACAGCTAAGCCAACCATAACACCCCGGCTTCCCGGTCAGAAAGCGCCCCTGCTTGTCTCTCTTTCTTGGTTCATTTCTCCATGTTACTCCCTTCTCTGCGTGATATCACTCACACTGAAACTTCAGTTCTCTGACGAAATGCAAAAAGTGCATTTATGTGTCTTGCAAAGATTACTCACTCCAGTTATATCATATAGTGTAATGACTGCTGGAGGAAACAAGTACTGATACATGCCTGCAGATTCTAAGTATGTCTTATTGGCCATATGATAACCACCTGTGTAAACGCTTGGAGTGCATCATGGCTCGAAAACACTGGATCCTCAGAGTGTTGCTTCTGTTGCTACGGAAGACCAGAAACATGACCTCTTTGCTCTGCAGGTGGTCAGTAGTAGACATACACATAGGCACAGTTTCATGCATAAATGTATGTATCAATCTATGCATATTTACCCGGTGCTTGATTTTAATATTTTTTATTTCCTTTTGTTTTTCTTAAATTATGACAAAGTGCAGTTCAGTGCGCATTGCTGTACAATACTTAAAAAGACAAAAATGGAGAGTTTGCATGTGTAATTTAGGAGAGCAGTGGGAGTGCATGTCAATCTCTGCAGGTCAAACAGGAGGTGCGAGAGGCTCCTGTTGAACAGGGTGCATATTGACACAGCATTATCATGAATGAAAATATTTTCTGTGTTCAGTGGGCATGAAAGGAAAGCCACCAGACATTTTGACATGGCCTGTTCAAACAAACATTAGACACCAGTATTCAATCAAAAACACATTCACCCTCGCAGGCTTCTAAAACAGCAACTAGGAAGGAAGAAGGCATTTAATGATGTGAAAACAGGCAAAAAAAATGTGACCATGAATGTTGCCATCCTTGCAATCTGATGCATTCACAGACTGCAGACATTGCAGACCAAATATCTCTGCAGTGCACTACATACTTAATAAAAATTTCAGGTATTGGTGGAATCCCAGGGACACGTGTAAGAGGACAGAATTTCAATGGAGCTGGTAAGAAAGTAGCTGCTGTTGTTAATATGTGTAGGGGTGCTGCTTTGATGGGCCCTGGGTAAAAAGCTAACAGTGAAACTGGATTCGTACAAATAGCAACATTGAGGGCTGAAATGAAACACACAAATCAAGAAAACGTAAGGGAAGCAGGGACACACTGAATGAGGATAGTACAAAAAATAAAAAAGGAGTGCAGACAGAGGTTATTTGAGCTTTTATTGTTTCTGGATTGAGGCATATTCCTGACTGATTACTGCTGTTAGACAGGGTAGAGGAATTAGATACCCATTCAGTCAATGATAGGATAATGTAAGCAAAAGAATGCATTGCCAGACTATCTACATTAGACTCTTTAAATGGCTATTAATCTTAGGCACTGGCTTAAGAGATCGGAAATGAAAATGTTCTGCAGAAGCTTTCATCTGGAGGCAGAGCTAAAATATGTTCTTGCATTAATGCCTGGGTTCAAACTGATGAAACTCTGTGTCACAGTCAATCTGACGGTGCCAGCTCCGGGAACTTTGACGATGAACAGTTGTCTCATGCTCAACAACAGATGAGAGTCTATAATTGCACCAGGCAATGAAATAACAGAGATAGTATATGTTACAAGACCTCCATATACATACAAAGTCCTTCTGTTCTGCAGGGAACAGGTGCAACGTGGGAGTGTAGTCATGATATCCTAGGGTGGTGAAGGGGCGTGGGGTTGCTGGTGCAGCTGCCACGTACAGCCTAATGCAATCATTTCTGTGACTGCATGTCTTTTAATTGCTATTTGTTGATGAGGACATTTTTATAGAATCTGTAATGTTAACACTACTGTATGTGCTGTTTTCAAGCTTTCTTTCTAATTACTAAGTCACATTTGTTTGTTTTGCACTCCCCTTTTTGCTGCTGTTAATTGACTCGGGGATCTCAAATATGAATGAGTACTGTCACTGGGAAATGTTCTCATTAAATCCCTGCTTCACAAATTGAAAAGCAATGCAAAGCAGACACAGATTTGAGAATAACAAAACAAATTTATTTTCTTTTTTTTCTGTAGTGACTGATGGGTTACTTGGGGTGCTAAGCATGGATCAGCATGACTTAATGTTGATGTCAACACACAGCCATGAGAAAGAACAGAGAAAAACAGATGTATTTCAGAGAGGTTCACAGAAGACAGATATAGATCTGCTCCAGTGGATTGACGTCTATGTTATTTTCTTGAAGGGTATCTGCAGATTCAGTAATGACTCCAATCTCTTCTTGTACTTATTTTTGCGTGTTTCAGTAAGTTTTTGCATGTGTTTGCAAAACATGTTCAGTCAATCTTTTCCACAATGCTGACAAGACCTGGATACCTCAACTTAAACACCGTAACAGATACACAAGGGCTGCGGGAACCTGGGATAGAAATTAACTTTAGACAGACTACAGAAACAAAAGTCCTGGTAGGATAAATCAGAGAAGACGGTGCAGCATACACTAATAACAAGGTTTTAAAGAACTGATGAGTTTGATGGGTGGGGAGGAAGAGAACCTAAGTAAGAAAGGAAAAATCTTCATGAAAGGAACCTTGTACATGGAAACCCATGGTAACAGTGGTAATGACTATCCACATGGAAACAAGCACAAAGAGGGAAATAATTGAAAATGAAAAGAAGTGCCAGTTAACCTTGGCTGTGGTCCATATTAATGCAGAAGGGGCAGGAGCCAAATGAAGGTAGTGGAGGAGTCGAGCAAGGGTAGAGAAGAAGTGGGGGTAGTCTGTAGAGTGACATTAGAGGAGGGGAAGTCTGCCTGGGAGACACACTGCACTTAATCCAGCTGCCTGGGAGGGAAAGACAGATCCTGAGGCAGTTTAGAGGAAGGAGCAGGCAATTTTCAGCCCTTCTATCTGATACAAACTCAGTCCATTTCTAACCACACACACAGGCTTTTACTCAAACACACCACACTGTGGCAGGTGGCCTCTGCCCAGATCAGTAGCTGTGGTAGAAACCATCTCAAGTGACTGACAGAGGTTTCAACTGAGGTCTGGAGCGTCCCTGACTGAGCGTGAGCAGAGTTAGGAGCTGGAGCTTTACTTTCTTTCCTAGTGCAGAGAGACCGCACGTCAGGCACGAGGCTCTCCACTCCTCCCCTCTTCTACTCATCCTTTGCTTGGGCTCTCGTCCAGAGAATGACTGGCTCCAGTGGACCCAAGAGGAGGAACACAGACTGAAGACAGAGCACACCAGCTCCAGCTCCAGATCTGCCTGTCTGCCCTCCTACTGGGATAGACTTATACACTGAGGTTTTACAAATTAGCATCTACACCTTTGTGGGATTCATAGATCTGATTTTTTTTCTACCTTCTTTTCATTCATCACATCAGAAAGAGTGGATCTAAGCTGTTCATACAGACAGACAAAAAAAAACAGACGGACTGACATATGGACAGAGGACAGTGAGCACTGCGGCGTGAATGTGGCAAGTGGACTTCTCTTCTCCCTGGTTACTAAAACCAAACAAGGATAATACCCAAAGCACTACCCTGTCCACAGAGGTAGTGGGTGGATGCAGCTTTCAGTCGACTGCTATAGGGGAAAGCAGGGGCTATATAGAAGCTGCAGAGATACACTGAGCCAATTCACATTGTTTTGATCATTAGAAAATGGACTGCTACCTCCAAGCAAGCTCTTGTTGGATTGTTATATTAAAGATTGTATCTTACTGAACAGTATTTGCAGAACGCTGCTGAGCAAACACCTGTGGGCAATTTCTTTTTTCCTAAGACCTTGGAGGCTACGTTGAGACTCTGGACTTGCATGGCTTCTAAATAGGCAAATGTAGAATGTGTATATCAATGATGATGGTAGAGTGCATACGGACTGTGTATCTCTCACTGATGCTGCTGTATATTGCTCTGCTGGGCATGACACACACAGCACACAGCATCAACCCAAGGATACGTCTCTCCAACAAAGGTAAGAAATATCTAATGTGTGTTTCTTTTCATTTATTTTGTCAATAAATATTTATATAGCATGCTTTAAAATGCTTCCTGTGCTTCATTAATATAGAGACAATTTGATTTTTTTGACACTGTCAAAAATTAATCAGCGCACTTTGATTTTTCTGCACAGACTAATAACTGGAAATTGGAAATGAGACAGGTATAATGCAAAGTCATTGTCCATACTTAATAGACTTCTGCTCTCTGCCAGTAGTCACTGTAGCATAGTTGATGACTACACTAAAAATTTAATAGCTAATGTTAGTTTTTATACAGTTTTAAAGCATTATAGTTTCCTGCAGAAAATATGCATAAAGTTATACATAAGCAATGAAATGATGCATCAAATGCTCTGTGAAAAAATAGTGAAGTTAAAAAAAGTGCTATTCTTTGGACGTGAGTTCAGGATGCTGTTAGTTATCATTACCGTGTAATGAGATGTTTATTGAAGATTTATGTTTTAACCTGGCACTGCGCAGCGTTGGCTCAGGGAAGACTGAACTCTGCTTTGACTTTGGGAAGTGCACCCTTTTTTTCACCCACTGTTGATATGTAAGGAGCCTCCTTGTAGTTTGTTTTGGTGCCCCAGTCATGGTGGTTGAGAATCTAAAATGTGGCTTTCTCTCATGCTATACTGGTGGTGTGATGGAAACGTTGTTTATTTCTTTTCTTGGTGCGCGGGAATGTGCGTGCGTGCACGTGCCGGTTAAAGTGTGTGTGGGAGTTTGCAATGCCCTGGTATGTAGACTGATTTTTGTGTATCTCTTAGACAATAATGAGGGTTTTATCTTTGCAGATAAAACTCTTGAGTAAACACTGGCCTTTTCTCACAGTTTCTTTGATCTCTACAGCAACAGAAGGTGATGATTTCACATAAGCCTGTTAGTCATGGTTGAAAATAGGTGTGGAATTTGGATGGTCAATAACTCCAAAATACGTGTTTGGACTCAGTTATGAAAGCTGACAAGTCTGGTTCATCAGTAAGAGGGTGTGCTGTTTTATGATATGTACTGCATGCGTTATTTTTCTTGTCTTTGCTCATGTGTCAGCAATAGCACAATAACTTACAATGAAAAGTAAGGCAAAGTTCGCACCAAAACAAATGTTAGAAAATCACCACCGATGTGCTTAGTCACAAAAAGTAGGTATTAATTATGATTGTTACTTTCGGTTCATTAATTGCCCAAGGGGCGAGCTGAGACACTCACTGACATACCACCTAGCACTCTTTCTTCCTCTCTCTCTCTCTCGCTACATGCTCTGGCTAGCACAGGGGAGCTTGAAATGGCTGCAGTTGGATCCTATCATTATGGAATGAAAAACATCTAAGTCCTAATTTATGCCTCATGGGCTGTTCTGTCAGTGATTTTTTGCACACACCCTAAACTCACACATATGCATAAACAAAGAGGGACACATGTACAGGCGAAATAAATTCTGTAAATTCTTCACACACTGACAATTTGAATGCAGTTCAGGAAGATGGAAAGAGATGGATGTGGTTTTACTAACCTACTCCTAGAAGTATGACCATATTATCATAACATTTGGTATCAAAGCAGGTTAGAAAAACTAAACTCTTCTATTTAAGCGAAGGTTTAATAATGGGAAAGAAAATATTATAATATCAATAATGAAATACTTGTATTCTGCTTTTGGTTAGATGGGCCGATCCATGATGTGGGATCAATAGAAAGCTCAATAAATGAACAGGTCAAATTTCCAGAGTTTGTGAGATTGAATTCCTCTGGGCCCATTACCATGTGTTTTAAAGATGGCATTACTGCCATACAGTATGGATCTCTCTGCGCTTTTATGTGAGCCATACTTTGCACGTTTTATGGCAGAATTATCCACTATTTCTTTTTTTGATCTTTTCCCAATGTTCTTTTCGAGACTTCTGTTCCAGTGAAGACTTCTTTAAATGCATTTAATTCACTTTAATCCTCATTCACTCATTCTTTCATGTGCTTACACATCCAGTTAACTCCGAGCTGTTACCTAAATCATATGGTGTATCGAGTTACAAACACAGACTCTGTGCTGTTTGACCGTAATCTTCTGCTGCAAAGATTTAAAAGACTTTAAAAATAACATAAAGATGTTAATGCATCTCAGTTGCTTGGGCTTTTGCCCAATAAAACCCCCTAAGTCTTGGACTATAGCACAGAAAGCCCCCATTAGCGAGATATGCTGACCATAAAACAAAAATAAAAAGATACTGTTTGTTTTGAAATTTTCGGACACAGAGCCATGCAGTTTGGATTTGCATCATTCAAGATGCTTGGCAGCAGGTTGTTTTTTCAGCTCTCCAGGACTGTGAAGTGAAATGAGCTCTTCCTTTAGGACAGCCATCAATTTTGCTGCTAATGAAGCTGTTGCACTGCTAGCATGTTGACAGGCTGCAGATAGGTGGTCAGACTTAGATGTATTTTGCTGCTTCCTCAGCACTTTCATCATACTTGGCCTAAGCTGCCGAGAGTTTGATGCAGCAGATTTCATAGTTTGCATAGTTCTAATGACCCAGCTGGAAAAAAAATCACACCCAGAAACTTGTGCTTTTAATTTATGAACAAATTGGAACAATAAATTGCTTGTTTAGCAAAGCTAAAACACCACTTTCTCCTGCCACATAATAGATACCTACACAGAACAGTAAAAAAAAGAAAGAAAAATATTGACCATTTTAAAATAATTAAATTGACCAGGAATTTCCTCAGTCGTCTGCCAAGGACACATTTTCACTAAAGCTGTAAGCATTTAGTAACAAAAATATTTTAATGCAGCGAGTCAATAAAGGGGAAAAAGTTGTTCTGGCAAGGTTAAAATCATACTGCATATGACCGCTTATATAAATAAACAGATGCACTTTCTTTATTATGTCCAATTGGAAACTTCAAGAGAAAGAAAGTTAAAAAAAAACAACAAAAAACAACAACTTGTGAGCTGAATTTCATCATTTACTATTTCTTTCACATGAGTGAGCAAAACATGCTTTTTATTAAAGAAAAGTTACAGTGTAGATATAGATAAGTAAATACACTGGTTGAGAAATACAAAGCTTGTGCTTAGCATTGCCTTTCTTCAGTAGAAACTGTAAAACTGTGTGATTTGAGCAGAGGCAGCTGAGGTGCAAGCATCTGTGAGCACAGGTAGCAATTACTCATGTCCTTTGAAACTATAATTTTAGAGGTGCCACTCCAGACAAGAAAAAGCTTTTTCTGTGTACTTTACAATCTTGAAATGATGAATATGTGGGTGACTTTCATCTGGGGCTAAGATGGAAAACACCAGTGTGACTCTAGATGTGTTTGCCTCAAAAGAAATGGGGATTTTTTCTTCTGGTTTTTTCTACTTACATATAATGTGTTAAGTGAGGAGTCCCATTATGTTTCTTGCCTCTGTGTGTGAAGAGGCCTATAATTAGCATTTACCACACTGCATCGCGGTCACAGCACAAGTCATACTGTAGACCTTAAATCAAACAGCTAGAAAATGAAGGGAATGGTGGCGTAAATCACACCTTTTAGGCTAGCACAGGAAAAGGGATCATCTTTCAGCCTTCTCCAGTCGCCTCTACAATCACCCTTCTCATATTCTCATTTTGTGTGTGTACATCTCACCATCATTTTTTTCACCCATTGTGTTATGTATGTGTTCTCTGGTTCATTAATGAGATGTCCAGAGGGGAAGGCAGCTGGTGAAACTCTAATATCCTTTCTGACCTTTTTGCAGTGAAGGGAGCATGAAGACTAGGTGAGTTAAGTTTGTAACAGAGAAGCATAGATAGCACAAAAATGGTGCCTCTGTAGAGTCTAAGCTGCAATGATATTACAAGGAAGGAGGATGAAGGATAGCAAAAGTGATGGATTCATTGTGGATATTGTTTGTTGTAGACTGGTGCATCAAAGAGAGTAAATAACAGGAAAGGTCTCTGTTATTTCACTCTGCCAGCTTTTGGGGGGAAAATAAGAAGAGAGGAGAACTGTAATAAATGGTTTCACACAATATTGATCCAAAGCGTTTTTAATGTCCCCAGCTAATTATATGCAGCTAATTATGTTCAAAAGAGTGAGTGTCCACAGCTATCTGTAAAGCACATTGGATGCTCTGTCATGGTTTGGGGATGCATTTCAGCCAGTGGTGTTGGAGAGCTTAGCAAAGTTTTCAACACAACCTTGAAAAAAGTCTTGAAAAACTCCATATACACCACATATCCAGTATGATTCAATAAATCGCTAGTGTGGCTAAAGACTTGTGGACAGTACTGCATTCACCGTGCTGGAATTGACATTGAAATCAGTTTGTACATTCTGGTCCTTTAACATACAGCGCCGATATACATCAAGTTATCCGGTAAGTCCTTCATTTTTATCTCAGAGGCCACATAGCCTACTTCATATATGACTGAAGGAGTAACAGATGGGGACAGGCTTTAATTACATGTCAGTCAAAGACGGCACAGTGATATATTCACAAACCTTGCAAAGAGATGAAGTACGTATGAGGTGTATGTATCTGCTTGCCTTTTGATGTGGTTTTTAGGTCTTATCTTAATTTATAACTTTATTCAGGAAACATACTTGCACTCTTGTCATTACAGAGAAGCACACTCTGTCTCACCCTCCACAGACACACCATGTGGGTTTCATTTTGCTCTGTGACATCATTCCCCCTCACACAAGGGAATATAGAAACACAAGGCTGTATACCGATAATGGCATAACACCACAGTTCTTCTGCTCCTGACCCCACCCCCAGGAGTTCTGCAGTCTCACTCAGGCTTTCAGGAGAACAGACCCCCTTCTCATTTTTTTTACCCTTTAACAGTTCACTTCAATAATTCTCTTTGTTTCTGTTCCTGCACAAGTCCCATTACTCAGTGTAATATGCGTAAGCTTATTTTGCTGGAAATATGAGCCTGTCTACCTCAAGTTTAGGTTAAATGTGTGCTTAGTCCTTGGCAATATACAAAATTATGATAGATACTTTAATTTGTTTTTTTAAGTTTCCAGGGGAATGTTCTTTTTTTCTCCATGATCTCCTGTGTGCAGTTACCTTGGTTTATGTGGCCATAGATGAAATGCTGCTAAAGTACTGCTGCACACTTGGAGACACACGCATACACATACTGTATCCCCTCATACAGCAAAACAGTATTTCCATACATGGATAAAGAAGAGATGACAAAGTTTATTTTGATTTCATCACATCAAATCTCCTTAAACATCTATCAGCACTCCTCAGACAACGGATGAAAGTGTGCGCCTTGTGGGAGTCCATTTTCTTTGTGTCTGTCATTTGAAGTGGGATCACAGTAGGGCCATGTGTCTCTTTGGCAAAGTTGCTGGTAGAGAAACACCCTCTTCCTCCTTCCAACTACTTAGCTGTTGGCTAAGGAGCTGTCACTGGCTGCAGATGGTGAGAGAGCGAGAGAGAGAAAGAGAGAAGTGTGGAGAATTGTGGAAATCCCCCCATTCCTTTATTCAGCCAGTGGGGTGGCATGCACTTATAATAACAGAGGAGAAATCTTTAAACCACTCCTCTGAAACATCCTTCAGTGCATCTGTATAATCAGAAGATCCACTGATTGTATTTCTGTAACTTCAACTGTAATTATAACATTTTTATATGTGATTATAGGTTTTTAGAACTTGCATTTTTGCATTTCCTTTTCTTTTTCTTTCTTCAAATGAATATTGCTTACTGTAAAAACATTCCAGTTCAAAAGAGGTGAACACCATATATCTACAATGTAACAAACAAATCTGCACAATTAAATGTAAGTTTATTTGCAGTTTTTCTTGTGTATGTGTGTGTGAGAGAGAGAGACTCCTACAGGTCTATCTTAGTGCCTTGTTATGTGCATGTGTCCATATAAATCAGCTGCAGCTCATCTTTATTGACATAGACAAGTGAAAAGCAGATCGAAAAATGGGTTTGACTTACACACTGTTTATTCCATCATTTTAAATTGCCCTGTAAGTCAGTCATCTAAGTGAGTAGCTGCAAATTTGACATCACAAGAAAAAAGAAAGAGCTGATTGAAAGCCAGTGTTAGAGGATTGTGCTCAATGCCAGTCCAGCTTAGCACAGAGGGATTAAGGAGATAAAAAATCTGCATGTGAGTGACACAAAAACTGAAAGAATTCCGTGTATGTGTGGTGGGGGCTGTCTGTATGTGTATGTGTGTGGATTAGATAATTACAGGAAGCATGTCTGAGCCTTGGCAGAACACCACTGCCACTCTCCGTCTCTGCCACCTAACCACCAAAGATTTAATTCTACTCAAACAAACTGTCACTTGTCTCCAACGCAGAAATCTTAATAGCAACAAAACATACACAATCACCCATTCCTCTGTGGATACCTAATCCTATTTTAAACAAATAAAACTTTCCACGGAGTGGAGTACTGTTGCCAAGAGTGATCTGCAAAATAGGATAAACACTCTCTCCTCCTATCTTGGAGATCGAGTATCACTAAAAATATACAGCGCCTAGAAAAACAAATCATACAATTACCCCCTGCAGCCCTGGCACGTAGAGGCACCTCAGCATTGTTTTAAATAGTCCAAAGGCTGGTACAGTAATATGATTAAGTAGGTTATTATTTTTTTTCTCTTCTTTCAAAAGGAGTTTGATGTACAGTGTGAAGATGAACTACCATTTTCATGAAAAGTAGGACGAATAAATGTTTTGGGTTTTTTGCACAAATTCTAGCTTGTCTGGTTGGCTTGACCTAAGGTCTCAAAAGCACCATTAACACACACCAGATCCCCTTTCTTCCTTTACGAGGGCACCTAGCCCAACCGATCATGTGTTAATGAAAGGTTTTTCAGGCCAGTGGAACCCAGAGGAAGTGCATGCCTCTGGAAGTCTGGGACTTAGTTTAAATCCCTCTCCCCCAGTCTTTCATGAAGATTACAGAGAGCAGGTATGGTGGGGCAGCCTGCCAAGCTCAATCTCAGGTGTGCATGTGCATGGGTGGTATTTGTGATGCAAACTGTGTTTGCTGGTGCGTTAATGTTTATATAAAATGACATGCATGTGATGGTCCACTGCCTCCTTTTTAGAATAAAATTTCAAATCACCTAAAGTAAAACTGACAGGGAGTGGCAGCTCATCTAAACTAATGGCTGATAAGGAGCCAGTTCGCTTTCCTGTCTGACAAAACTGCTTCCTCTCAGTACAAGAAATCATAGCCTAGTGCAACTCAAATGACCCTTCTGTTATACAAAAGATTACTTTCTGAATTGTTTCAGCTTTTTTGCATTTTCGAGATGTAGCTAAAAAGAGTCATCTTCTAAGAAATCACTTATTTGTCATTTCTTTCAGATTTAGGGATGATAACCACTGTTGAAGTGAGATATAGGTATCACTGAGAAGGGAGACATAAGATGGAAAGATAACCTTTGCTGTCTGTGATTCTCATGGGGTTGGTATGAATCAAAAACACATGTTGCAATATGACCTTGGCCGCTTGAGCAGTTGGACTTTAGGCACAGGCTTCTACAGTTGTTAGAAATCTCTTGAGGAAGGGTGTCTGGCTGAAATTGACTTTCACTACAGTCAAAAAGCTACATACATGTAAAGTATATCTAAATGTGTGCTGTGTTTATTATTGTAATCAATTTATTTGTATTGTCTATATAGAGCTTTGGCAGCTGAACAGGACTTGGGTGTTCCAGAAACATGGAGTGTCACTTCAACCCCAGACCATGCTGCTGGATGAGGGCCACGAGAGGCTTTATGTTGGTGCCAAGAATGCTCTGTTCTCTCTTAGCCTGGACCAGGTTAACACACACCATGCAGAGGTGAGCCTGGTTTCTTTCCTTCCTGTCAGCAACTGCGATATTTAGACCCATAAGTCTATAGACCAGCCAAAATGAATGTAAACGCTTCTTTATCCGGCATGGGTTCAAAATGATGAGCTAAATATGGAAATGAATAAATAAAGAGGACGTTTTTTATAACTTACTGGAGAGATACATAACAACAGGCACTGTAAGGTTAAGGGGTGAACACAAAAACAGATCAATTATTTAAAAGTTGTAAAGACAAGAGGAGAGTGGGAGAAACAGGCAAACCAGCAGACCTGACAAGGCCAAAGGCTAATTGGGAACATTTGGAAACGATTCGAGAATCACAGAGGCGGCGATAAGAATGAGACAGGATGCAACTAACACATCTCCCCTTTCTCATTTCTGAGTTTTTACATCCTCACCTCACATTGTCTGATGAGATGCGAGCAGAGGAGACAAAGAAGAGAGGAAGTGAAACAACAGGCAATTAACATAACAAGACAGCCTTGCTTCAGGGCCTTATTTTAAAGCAATGTCAATTAAATATGAAGTTTGGCACAACTGCAATGCTTAGGCATCAATAAATTGTTTTGTTATAACTTAACTTCTGCTAGATTTAATTATAATCACAGAATGGCACAATATGACAATATAAAGCTCAGTAAGAAGAGATCAATTGGAAGAACTGAACATGATTTACGGAGACAGACAAATGAATGTATTTTGCGATTAGACTCAGATGACCCATCATGGCAGAATGGAATCCCAGCTGTGATAGGATTTAGAACAGGACCCCTGAAGTCTAGACGCTGGTGGTGGTGAAGACGAAGACTCAGGCTTGAATAGTGTTCTGGCTGAAGTGTCTGAGGTGGAGGTGGGGAGGAGGTGGGCTGCGCAAAAGACAGTCTGAGAACGATGGAGAGCACAGATTTAAACCATGGCTGGCTCAAAGCAGGCAGGTGAGAAGATGAATGGTAAATGGCCTGCATTTGTATAGCGCTTTACTCAGTCCCTAAGGATCCCAAAGCATTTTACAGTCATTCACCCATTCACACACTGGCAATGGCAAGCTACATTGTAGCCACAGCTGCCCTGGGGCGCACTGACAGAGGCGAGGCTGCCGGACACTGGCGCCACCGGGCCCTCTGACCACCACCAGTAGGCAAACATGGGGTTAGTATCTTGCCCAAGAATATTTGGCATGCAGCCAGGAGGCAGCCTGGGACCGAACCACCGACCTTCTGATTAGTGGCTGACCTGCTCTGCCACCTGAGCTACAGCCACCCCATGGACTAGAGTAACGATGTCAGTTGTAAGACTGACAGTGTGGGAAAACGGTAGACAGGTAAAAAGAAAAGCAGCCGAACACCCAGCAAAGCAGGCACATGAGTGATTACAGCTCTTCCTTATTGAACTTACACATAAGCTTCATAAAGTTTAAACATGCAGTGGATCATCACAAATGCTTAATCAACAAATGAATATAAATAGCACTTGAATAGTTGTTTCAAAACTTCTCCTCCCACCTTGGTTTGTATATTCAAGCCATGTGTCATGCCTCTTTTTTACAATGAGGGTGAAAACATTTCTACAGAGAGTACACCTTTTCATCTTTGATTTTTTTCCCTTCTAGCAAGATTGCTCTCTGCTCTGGACTCCAGATGCATTTTAGGAATTAAGACATCTTTCAGCATGGTGTGCTGAAATTGATTTCAGTCTCAGACAGGTGGACGGACAACAAAGGAGATGAAAAAAGCGTATTAAGTAACAACAAAGACCCGGTTCCAGTCTTGCTGGCGGAGCTATGAGCAGGGATGGTGAACAGGTGTATCCCTTTCACCCGCAATGTATGACAGAGTCTAGACGTTAAATATATAAATCATGGTAAAAGCAGGAGAGAAGTCACTGGTTATGATATATGATCAAGTGCATAATCAAAGTTTCGACTCTTCATGAATTCTAGGCGTAATAATGAAAAAGAAAGATATTTTTTGACATTCTTACCACATTTCTCTTACAGTCTCCTAAAATTAAAAGCAAATATATATATATATATATATATATATGTTGTCATGGAAACAGTTATGCTCATGAAGACATCATAAAATATAGTGGGGGGTTATTACAAAACAATGGACATATGTTGCAGATGTACCACATGCAGGGTTTAATTGCAAAGTGGTTTAAAATTATAGCTTTGAAGCATGAAATGCTTGCTTTTCCAACTCCTCTTTCACGATTGATCTTCCTTGCTTTCTTCTTTTCTTATATGTCATGTGGGAGGGACTAAGATGAGGGTAGAGAGAGAAGAAGCAAATTTAAGATGTGCAAACCGAGAAATGAGAAAACGGGAGAGAAACTGAAGACACAGGGAAAAAGAACACACTCAGATACATCAATCGTTGACAGAAGACAGGAAAAGACACATCAGTGTCCATAACAATTCTTTTGTGTGATATTTAATAATAATGGATTGGATTTATATAGCGCTTTTCTAGGCACCCAAAGCGCTTTACAATACCACTATTCATTCACTCTCACATTCATACACTGGTGGAGGCAAGCTACAGTTGTAGCCACAGCTGCCCTGGGGCAGACTGACAGAAGCAAGGCTGCCATATCGCACCATCGGCCCCTCTGGCCAACACCAGTAAGCAAGTAGGGTAAAGTGTCTTGCCCAAGGACACAACAACCAGGACAGAGAGCCCGGGGATCGAACCGGCGACCTTCCTGTTACAGATGCGATTCCCAACCCCCTGAGCCACGGTCGCCCTTTAAAGAGTGCAAAGAGTAAATGTGGGGGGACAATTGTGCTGTGTTTCAGATCCAGTGGGCCAGTACAGACTATCAGGTGGAGGAATGTCTCATGAAAGGGAGGGAAAAGGTAAGGCTTCTGCAATAAAATATGATATACATATACAGATGGTTATGTTCTTTGCTATAACTTGTTGTTATTATTATTGTTAACAGTAAGCACTAATGACCAGCTGAATATTTATTGGCCTGATATGTATATGATTATGAACCTGAACATGCTTTATCAATATTATTAATGATCCAGTAACACCCTGGCATGTTTCCATTGCCCATTTTTCACTGTTTGGTCCCAATGTAAAAGAACAACTCCCTACCGACTTTACCTTCATCCTTGTAATTCCTCCAACAGCAAGAGTGTGCAAACTACATAAAGGTCTTACAACAGTACAACCAGACCCATCTGTTGGCCTGTGGAACAGGAGCCTTCAACCCTATCTGTGCTGCGGTCAGAGTTGGGCATACATGGCAGGTGAGCCCAGAAGAAAGAACCATACAATACCATACCATACCACTAGGGCTGACCAAAGTGCTGTACAATCACACCAAACATAAAAGACAAACTCAGGTCAAACGGTAAAAGATACAGAAAAAAAAAAAACCAATCATTTTAGGAACCAAAAGTTTAAAAAAGACACTTCAAAGTCAAACAGAATTGTGAATTATGATCTTTAGTTCTGTTACATCATTCTAATTATTCACTTTCAATATTTATACTAAAAAAAGATGTTGGATTGGTTAATGGTGGATTTCACACGAGGTACTGGCATCAAAATGAGCAACTAATCCCAGGTTCTTTACTCTTAATCCTACCCCTTATGATGGATATGAACATGAAGTGTTTTGATAAAGTTTCAGCCCTGGGTCTGCTCTGCTGTAAAAACACTGCACATGCTGCTGTAGATGTAAAGCTTTGGTTTTGGACAGCATAAGGCTTTGTGCATGTGAGCGTCCATGTGGACCCTCTCTGCTTATAAATTTAGTGAGCAGAAGGAATAAGGTTTCCGCCCTGCATTCCAGCACTTGTCCAGTAGGTCAACCAAGCCAGGGATAGCTTCCAGGCAGGAACCACACTCAGTCATCACTCAGGTCATTGGAATGCTCATAGCTGAGCACACAACTCAGATATGGCTGATTTATGTAAGTACAGAAAACTTACATGCCAAATTGCCTCCCGAAATCATGCATGTAGTACTTGAGATTGTATTTAGTCTTTAGTTACCTTTAATTTTGATCTTATTAACGTATACACTAGGAAAACCAAGATTAATAGATACTATTGAAATCGATTATGCCAACCAATGGCCAATCAACTGAATATCAGGTGGCTTAGATGTTTCAATAAAAGCACAAATTACATACCAGAGTACAGACTGGAAGTAATATTGATTAGATGTATTTTTGCTATTTTCCATTTAGTTTTGATAGGCCACTTCTTATGATGAATGAGTTTAACCCCAGAACTGGCTTCTGTTACAGTCATGCGTAGGGCGGTAGTCACCTCACAGCAGGGTTCTGTGGCTGCACATAAATCACTGCAGTATATGACATCTCCCCTGGACTGCCATTGACTGTTAAAATCACTGGTGGCCAACAGCATATGAGCTGTGGTTTTATAGGGAGTTCAGATCTGTATTTGTAAGCATGTGTGGGTCTGTTTGTGTGTGCATACTTCAGCTGTTAGCATCTGAACGGTAAAAGTGGTGATCTCATTATGAAATAAGAGTAGAGAATAGCTGGTTATACCCATCCAGACAAAAGTCCTCCATTTGGTCATCCATCTCTTGTTGTCTCATCTATCTTCCTCCCTCATTCTAATCCATCATTTTCTGATCTTTCCTTTCTGCAGTTCTTTTCGATTTATTCCTCTACACATCAGCTTAAGGGATTTGCTTAGGTGCTGTCAAAGCCTTTGGGCAGGAGTAACTCTTTAGTGTGTGTTTGTGGCCCTGTTTTGTGAATCCCTGTGAAAATAACTACACATATATCAAAGTGTTTGCATGTTTTCCTCAGGACAGACTGTTTGCTCTTGAAGAAGAGAGCATTACAAGTGGCAGAGGACGAAGTCCATATGACCCCAACAGTCCCTGCACATCAGCGTTATCCAGTAAGAACTGCTCAACTTACCACTCAACACCTCCTCATCTGAGGTTAAAAGATAAAGGCTCAGTTGTGAAATGACCATGTTTTCATTTTAGTTCCATGGTAAAGCATGTAAATCTCCTCTGGCCAGTAAACACTGCCACCTTGTGGTCTTTTTTTTTAATTTATTTAAATAAATAATTATACTTTGTATAGTTTTAATCACATTAAAAGAAACTGCTGTTATTTTTTTAATAGCACTGTTGTTACTTTGTGTCTGTCCATGTGTACATTAGGAGGAGAGCTTTATATTGGCCTCTACACTGACTACTGGGAGAACGATGGTGCTTTGTGTCGACTTAACAACCAGAGCTACACACGCACAGAAAGGAACGACAGATCCCAGCTAAATGGTTGGTGTACATTACAGGATTGTAATAACATGTCCTTATTAATGCGAAGGGCAAATATGTCCATATGGCGTGGCAGTGCAAACTGTGACCTCCTACTCGTGTCGAATGTGATGTTAACTATCTGGCACACATGTTTCTTCTCAAACATAGCTTCAAGGCTTGTAATCATGTTAAAAAAGATGCTCATGATTTACACTACATAATTAAAGTCAATATACACTGATTAGCCACAACATCAAAACCAGCTGCCTGGGTGTCCTGTGGTTTTGGCTCATGAGCATTTGCAGCAAATGCACTGGGTCCACTAGTTTGTGTGGTAGGGCCTCTTGATCTGACTTGCGCCGGCATGTGCCACAGGTACTCAATCTCAGTTGGACCTCCAGAGTTTAGGGGCATGCACTCTTTGTTGTATTGTTAGACACTTTTCCTGGGGAGGTGCACTGAAGTCATTTTTATGGTGTGGGAGGGGTTTTAATGTTGTGGCTGATCAGTGTAACTGTGCTAATTAGTACTAGCTTTGAGATTTTTTCATATTTATTATATGTTTTCTTAATAAATCATATATTCACATTTATTTTCCTAAAAAAATGTTCATATAACACTTTTTTTTTATGTTTCATTGTATGCAACTAATTCTTCTTCCTACAGAACCCAAATTTGTTGGGTCTGCAGTTATACCTGACAATGATGACAGAGGTGATGATAAAGTTTACTTCTTCTTCACTGAGCGAGAGATGGATGCCGAAGGTGTGACCAAGGCCGTTTATTCCCGTATTGGACGGGTCTGTGCGGTGAGAACACTACAGAAACAAAATCCAACCAAAATGTTTATACTGACCGTGACATTAAAACCTATACATGCCTTTATCTCTCAGAATGACCAAGGAGGACAGAGGATGCTGGTGAACAGATGGACCTCCTTCCTGAAAACTCGTCTGATCTGCTCTGTGGCTGGACCCAATGGCATCGATACGCACTTTGATGAGCTCGGTAAAGAAACAACAAAGCCTTACAAGCCACGTTATCTAATGATTGCTTTTTTCTTCTTCTTCTTTTTATATCGCACCCATCCACATTTACAAGTTTCAGATGTTCATCACATCTTGTGTCAATGTCTCATTCATTACTGCTGCCTTTGCCACACAAACCATCCCATTTAGAGGGAAAAATGTGATTAATGAGACATCATGAGAATAAATGAACAACTCCCACTGCTTTACTGGAGATGTCAAAGATGCATTAAAGACACATCTAACCATCTGCATGAAAAAAAAACCTTTCTCTAAAACTTTGAACTAAATTTCAATGCCAGCATGCTAACATACTCAGAATGGCAATGATAAGAGACAAAAAAAATGTCAGCTTCATGTGTGCTCAACAATATACACACTAAATCTAAATTATACATTTTGTGTTTCAGAGGACGTGTTTGTGCTCAACAACAAGGATGAGAAAAACCCAGAAGTCTTTTGCCTCTTTAGCACAACAAGGTGAGAAATGAGATGTCAGCATTTCATTAAAAAATTTCGCTCTCTATCAAATTTACTGATGAACCCTTTCTTTGTAGTACGGTGTTTAAAGGTTATGCAGTCTGTGTCTATCACATGGATGACATCAGAGCAGCCTTCAATGGGCCTTTCGCCTTCAGAGAGAGACCTGAGCATCACTGGACACCTTATGAGGACAGAGTCCCCTATCCTCGACCTGGATCTGTGAGACCCAAATTTGAAATAAATCGCATTTATGTGATTTAATTAACAGTTTCACCAGCATTGTTTATCGAAGGCACTCTCCTATTCTCCTATACATCCAGTCTGTGTTCAGAGCGGATGTCCTTTAAAATACAGAGTGCTGAAAGAATGCAGAGCAGTGTCAGTGAATGTCAGCACTGTTGTGGCTACCTTAGCAGGTCATGCCAGGGCAGTTTGAGCATGACTAATGCGTGTCAGCTTTTTTCTTTTCAACTTATGCAGTGAAGAAGCAATAAATAGTCTTTGCTTATCTTTGTCCCATCCTCTTCTCTATTTGCTCACATCACAGTGTGCCAGTAAAGTGAACGGTGGTGGCTTCTCCAGCTCTAAGGAGTTCCCCGATGAGGTCCTGCGTTTTTTGCGTTCTCACCCAGTGATGTATAATCCAGTCCTTCCGCAACATCATAGACCAGTCCTATTACAGACAGAACCAGGCAGAAGAAAGTTGACCCAGATTGCAGTTGACAGAGTCCAAGCCCAAGATGGACACTACCACGTTCTTTACATTGGCACAGGTATAGGCACTGTACTGGACTGCATAAATTCATGCAAAATGTGCAAGTAATGAGTATTTCATCAAAAAAGACACCAAAGAAATTTAATAGGTGTTCTGTAAAAACAAATACAAAGTCGTTGCATAAATAGTTTTAAAACAACATTTTCTTACCATTTCACACATAACTTTTTTGTTTGCTTTTGTTTGCAGAAGTATAATGTTTATCTCTCCTTCTGTTAGATGACTCAGTGGTGTTTAAATTTATCACCATCTACAACAAAGACACAGATACTATGGAGGAGGTGCTGCTGGAAGAGCTAGAAGTTTTCAGGGTACCATATTTTTTTGCTCCAGAATGTGAAAGCAAAGTAGACTTTGTTCCCAAGTGAATTCTGCATTATAATACGTCCACACCATAATTCAGTTGCTGCAGCGACACCACGAGAGGATAATGATTTGCTGATTTTCTTGCTTTCGATCATCAGAAGAGTACAAGTGTGATTGTTCAACCTGACAGCTGAGAGATCTTCATTATAACATGAATACATTAGCTCTTCTCTACTAAGATCAGTTACATCTGAAAATTACTCAACAAGAAGTGGTTGCTGCTGTTTTCATTAAGAGCTGATTTGGTATGGACAGAAGAATGACAAGAGGCTTTCAGCTATGGTTTTTAATAGCATACAATGAACCAACCACTTATTCAGCTTTATTCTTAAATAACAGTAAAGTTTTTCCCTTTTTTGCAGGTAAAAACACCAGTGAGAGAGATCCTAATATCACCTAAAAGGGTAAGACAATAATCTGAATAGTCATTTGTGTTACTAATGCAGCTCTGCAGTTCTCCTGTTTAGCCACAAGATGATAACATTGTGACAGTATGCATAACACTGTATTGACATGATCTGCATGATTGCCTGTGCGTTGTTAAGTAGATCTGCCGGTTGAGGAAAAGACATAATGTATATGCAAAGTCTCATTTTAATTAGCCTGCAAATCAATTCTAATGGGCCACATTTTTTTGGTTCACAGCAACAGCTGTATGTTGGGTCAGAAGTGGGTTTGGCTCAGGTCAGACTGCATCAGTGTGACCTCTATGGTTCAGAATGTGCTGACTGTTGTCTGGCCAGAGATCCCTACTGTGCCTGGGATGGTATCACCTGCTCCAGATACTACCCTGCTGGAGTCTACCCCAGCAGGAGGTAACAGCATATATACACACCCTTCAGTACAGGAGTCATTTTCTTTTTATCGCAAATGTCTGCAAGAGCTATCATCTGTTTGCACCTTTAATAGTAGACACCCCCTCGGGTTCCATTTCAGGATCTTGCACTGAAAGTCACAATGCTGTGAAGCTGGTTTCCCAAGTCATTATCACAGACACTGAGAGACATGCCAGCCAGATGTTATGTAATGCCAATCAGTATGCACTTGATCACCCTCTTCCTCTTTCCATCTTTCCTGCTCTCTTTTCCCCACGCTCACGTTCTCTCTGTCTTTCTTTTCACCCATCGCTTGCACTTTCATCACATGTTCAAAATTACTCTCTTTTTGCTTCTCTCTCACTTTTTAGCCGACGATTCAGGCGGCAGGATGTGCGCCATGGCAACGCTGTCCAGCTGTGCAATGGGCTGCAAATTGATGGTTAGTGTATAAAAGAACTGTGGGATGTGCATGTTTGTGTGGGTGTGCATGGCCACTTGCCTGTATTTACTAGAATATTAAAAATGTTGTCAGACAAATATGGTTACATGTTGCAAAAACCGTTTTTAAAAAAAACTATGTGATTGGTGCACTTGTGCTATAGCAAAAGAACAATGAACAATTCAATGTACATTTACCAACTAATGAAAGGTCAAAGCAGCTCAATGTCATTTTTCTTGCCTCACTATGTTTTATGATGTGTGCGTATTGGTGTGTAGATGAAAAATGGCACAGAGCTAAAGACAGGCTGGTGTACGGGGTGGAGAGCAATAGCACTTTATTGGAATGTGTCCCGCGATCACTTCAAGCCAAGGTCCTTTGGTTCTTCCAGAAAGGAGGGGAGAACCATCAGGTAGGTCTGATGCATGTTTAAAATACAACGAACATACTTGTATTAAGTATGTTATTGTGATGAACAAGTTGTCACATTTACTTAGATGACAAGGTTCATAGATTGTTACAGATTTAAATGCGTATATCTTACATTCCATCTAATTCAGTAGTGTAGAGAAAGTCAGAAAGGTTATATTCCTAAAAATCTTTTTAAAAAGTCACTGAGTTAGGCATATTATTAAAATACTAACATTCTGTCAACCTAATTCATAAAATGACATCAGTGGCATAAAAAGTTGTTTTATCTCTTGCTTCATGTAGGTTCAAGGTGATGAACGAGTTGTTGTGACCTCACATGGGCTGCTGTTCTTACGTGTAAGAGGTTCAGATGCTGGTGTGTACGTATGTCAGACGGTGGAACACGGATATGTGCACACATTGCTACGTATCACTCTACATGTGCTCAGAGGAGAGAAGGTGGAATCAGCAATCCACATGGCCAATGATGGAGATGGGGCAAAAGCAGCGGCTTTGTGTCACTCTTCCATGGGTCCCCCACCACGCCCCAGCATCAGCCCCAAATCTCTGGCACCATCCCTGGCATCAGGCTCCCACTCCAGGCTGTGGTACAAGGAATTCCTCCAGCTGATTGGCTATGGGGATGCTCAAAAAGTGGAAGAGTACTGTGAGAGAGTGTGGTGCTCTGATAAGAAACGTAAAAAGACTAAAAAAAAGTATGTTCCTCTGGCTGGTGAGAAGAGAGTGAAAGGAAAGGGAGGAGAGAACTCCCACAGAGCTCCCAGGCACACCTTGGACACCTGAGGAGAACAGAGACTCACTGCACATACATACATGCACTCACACACAGTCTAAAGGTCAGACTCGCTCAGTGTTTGCACCATGTAAAAGGTTTTCACTTTGCTTTCGACAAGAGCAGTACAAAAAAAGAGAGAAAAAGAACAGTAGCAAGCTGCCTCGCTGTTGTAGCTACATTTATTACTGAGTAGTTTGACTGTGTTGTTTCCTCTTGTTTAAAAAACACTCTGCCTTTTTTTTGTCGTATAAACTTATTTTTGGCGCCGATCAACATTACAAACGTAAGTGTCAGTATGGAGAAAGTGACCTGGAAGCATATGGACAACAGCAACATTGCTTCAAATCTGAAGAGACATGTGTTAATATCCGCTCCCTTGGATTGATCCAGCCTACCCCATCCCAGCTGTCAATTGAAGTGCACACAGAGGCTGCTTTACTTCTAATACAACGGTAAAATCCAGCAAACTCTTACGGCACCTACAGTGCCATAATAAGTACCTTATTTGTTACTACGGTAACTTATTTTCGTAGTTTTTTTTTCTCTGAGTACTTTAGCTTTTTAGGTGTCATAACTGGAGAATATGTTGTTTTTGAACAATGAAAAATAATTTGAGCATTATAATATTGCTATTTTGATTAGACTGCAGTCATGGCTTTGGGGTGTGTAGTTACAATGACCACAATACAAAGCGTGTTGTGATGCCACTGTTATGGATATTTGAGGCATGTTTCTGTTACAGTTGCACCCTTGATGAAAATAATTATTATCTAAGCACTTCTAAAAGTTTATAAATTGGATGAAATGTGATCTTAGTAGTGGATCTCATTGTTGCTCTGTGTCTGCATTTATTATGTGTCTACTATTGTGATCAAATGTACCAACAGTATTGTGTGTATTGTATGCTGTATTTATCTAAAATTCAGGGTGGTCCTTATGTGCATATCTGATAATTATAACTGTGTATTCCAAAAATGATTTATCCTTCTCCGCTTCCTGACCTGTTCACCTTCTGTTTTCTGTCGTACTGTTTCTCTTTCCTCCTTTTGACACTCTTTAAAGCCACGTTATGATTTTGTTTCTCATGAGTGATGCTGTAGATGGGCTTTACTACAAACAGTAATGTACATCACCAAATTCCTCTGTGAAGAAAAACACCAAATAAATGATAGGGTCACTATCCAAGCATAGCATTAGCAAAACTGATGAGTCGGTATGTATATTCAGTTTATCCTGGAATGACACAAAAAGAAATGATCTTACAGTGAAGTATACACCGTAGTCGTGTGGTAATTACTCCAGAGGACCATATTTCTTCTTTATTATTTATTTCTTTTCTTTTTTACATTGTTTTGATCTTTGTGGTATGTGATAAAAAAAAAAAATCCACTTTTCTATGTCAGGCCTTAATGTCACTTATCATTCACCTTGAGTATTCTTGATAAAATGTTGTGTCTGCTATACCCCCCTATAAATTCTTGTCATTAAAAAAAGATGGACCATCCTTCCCTGGTGTCACCTCTGTGGTTAAGCAATCAATAATGGCAACGCATACTCCAAGTGTGTGTAACAGCATATGCACACAAACAGATGGAGAAAGTGGTTATGCAGTAGTCATATGATTAAAACAGAAATGAAAAAGACAAAATAAATATATATATAATAATAATATATATATTTTTATAATAATCTACTATAATATAATATATGTTTATATTTATTTTACCTCTATTATTTCTCAGCAAGTAGAACTTATTTTTTTTAATATCAACATTAAAACAACTGAAATGATCACAGCAAGATTTTCCTATATTTTATTAAAAAGAAAGCACACCAAATGTACCGACATGTGTATTGTATGCTGAATGTATATTGTATACTATTGTATAATAGCACACCATCTGTCAGTTCTAAGGTTTTACATATCAGGGCATCATAAAAATCACCTGGTCCATAGCAGCATAGTAGGTCTTAAAATTTGGTAAGCAACACATGGCATATTACACTGTGCAATTATTTAATAAAAATTAAGCCAACATGCAGAAGAAGTGTGTGAAAAATTAGTACACCCTTACTGCTTCCGTAAAAAAAAAAAAAAAAGGGTTGGCAGCCTGGTGCTTATGATAAAGTGCACTTGATTGTCCTTAAGTGTGGGCACCTCTAGAAAAGCAGTTCTGACCGTTTGTTGGTCTGGAGCTTTTAGATTTACAAACATAATCCAAGGAAGGAAAGGGAATGGAAAGCAATGACCTTAAAGGAGCAACTATTGCCTCTAATCAAACTGGGAAGGGCTATGAGACCATTTCCAAGCTATCTGAAGTCCATCATTCTACAGTGAGAAAGACTGTTCACTAGCGGAAAACATTCAAGACGGGTGTCAATCTTCCCAGAGTGGACATCCCAGCAAATTCATCAGAAAGCAAGACTGAGGATGCTCAGAGAAACTGCAAAAAAGAACTACATGTCAGACTCTGTAAGCAGCAATCAAAACATCAAATGTTAAAGTTCAGAAAAGTGCCATTTGCACTGGACAACTATGGCTTGTTTTGAAGTGTTGCCAAGAGAAGGCCGCTTCCCGATTAAAAGAAGGTGGTAGCGTAGTTCAGGTTTGCCGAGCTGCACCTGAAGAAAGTACAAAACTTCTGGAACTTGATGTCCTTAAGACCAAAGTGGAGATGGCTGGCCATGAACCACAGCCCCACTTTTTTTTTTTTTACATTTATATTATAATCAGTGTTGGGAAGGTTACTTTTAAAATGTATTGCACTACACATTACAGAATACATGCCCCAAAATGTATTTTGTAACGTATTCCGTTACGTATTCCAAAGTAACTGTATTCTGAATACCACCTTTTTAAACGGTAACTGTAACAGAATAGAGTTACTCATATTTTGTATTTTAAATACGTAACGGCGGTACATGTATTCCGTTACCCCCCAACACTGATTATAGTGCAGTATGTATTTACCTGTATAAAATGTCACCGTCACTGAAAAATACATCTAGGGCAACCAATAACATCTGTTCAGGGTTCTTTTTATTCTCCAGAGTGAAATACATACTGGGACATCAGACTCATTCACATTCCGCCTGGGTCTACCTGAGTCAGTGGGGTGCTGAAGGCATTTCAGAATGGAATTCATGCTGCTGATTTATTCCACATGGCTACCATAGCAACAGACTCTGAAGCAGTTCAGCTCACCTCCTCATCAAAGAATCCTTTTCTCTCTCTCTGCCAAGTTTTTAACACTGTTCCTTGGGCCCCTGTAACCAGTAGTCTCTGTGGTCACTCATAAATCATACTCTACTACATGAAACTTGTTCTCTTAGTTAAGCTCCAAAGTGCCTTCCTTTCTTATGGAATTAAACCCCTAATTCACCTCCTAAATTTGGCTTCTGATCCCACACATGGATTCCATCTGAGTAGATGAAAACAGATGGAAAAGAAAAATTTAAATCTGGAACAACTCATATTAATTATGCATTTTAGGATTGAGAGGCAAATTAATTGTGCTCAAAAATCTGTAAACCAACAAAGGCCCCAACAGTCAAAGGGCTCTGTAATAAAAACAGTACCCTTCCTTGGCTTTGTTGAGGATAATACTCAGTCTTTTCCTCTGTTTGCAATCTTCCCGTTTTTGTCCTCTGTTGTCTTTGTTGTTGCCACACAGCACTGCTTCCATCAGAATCCACTGTATTTGTTTACAAGTGAAAATGCCACAGAAAAAAGGGGGAGGTTATCAGGCAGTGGAAAATGAACAAATGGTAAATGATCTGCTACAAGTACTAACACTCTTTAATGTTGTGTCCCTGTGCATTTTTGCAACAACTGATTGTGCTGTGCCCAGCAAATATGAACAGATAGCTCTCATAGTTTTCTCTCTTGTATAATATTTTTTAGTATATTTTGGTTTTGTTTTGTATTTTATAGCATCTGTCAACGTATGGGAATGAATTATTAGCTATGGAAGTGAAAGCTTGTACATCTGGAAAGGCAACATCAGTGCTGAAAGGTATATGCATGTATATTATAACGACACAGTTTTGTGTTAGGAGAGTCCAGGGGCTGAACCGGCCTGCCTGCGGACCTTTCCAACTGAAAAGATTTGTTTCATAAAATGAAAAATACTATAAACCTGGACTGTTGACAGTTAGAATTGTATATCAGACGAGAGTGGAACATTTCTGCGAATCCAAAAGTCCAGATATTTGCTCCATTCACAGATGTTTACAGACCATTCTTCAAAGAAAACAGGGATGCTACACAGTGGTAAACAAGACTCTGTCCCAGCTTTTTTGTGACAGGTTGTTCCCATAAAACTTTAAATTACATTATTTTTCTTCTTATAATAGTAATTTTAAAATGTGATGTTTTCTATTTTCTGTTGTGAATGAAATATGGGTTTATAAAATTTTCAAATCATTCTGTCTCATTTGAATTTTTCATATTGTGACAACTTTTCAGGAAATGAGGTTGTATGATGGATGATAATACAAAAAATGACATACACAAAAACACTGTACACACAGCAACAGGACAACATGTGCTATGCTGCCCAGTGTTATCTCAATGACAAAGCTGTCATAGAAGTATATTTCCCCAGCAGCCACTACATTAGATAACCAAAGTGAGAGAGCTTGTACTGACCCCTGAGTGGGCTTTGTTTTTGTATATTGCTTGCAATAGCACATGTGTCACCTATACAAGACATGAAAACTCAAATTACACGTTCAAGAGGATTCACTCTGATTCATGTGTCAGTGTGCTTTTCTCTGATCCCAGGAATGACTTTGTGAATAATAAAGATGCCTACCAGCCATCAATGTGATGGCTGGTAGGGATCTACCAGCCATCAGTATGGGAGCTGCGATGTTTCCCACAGCGCCCATACTTCAGAAGACACGAGAGGCTTAGAAAGGACAGCTGAGCGAGTGAGAAAGATGGGAAGTGTAGATCATCTGGCTTTTCCGACTGATAGGCAAGGGAAAGCAGGGAAAGCAGAATGAGTCAGAGAGAGATAGGGAAACTGTGAAGAGAATAAAGCAAAGAAAAGAGGGCACAGAGTAACGTATACCCACTGAGGTGTGTGATGGGGAGCTCTGTGCTCCCGTCACCTTTGGGGTTTGCCTCTCCAGGGATAACAAACTTTGAATTATATTACTGCCTCATCTGGAAACCTGAACTCGAAATCTTCCAAGAGAGGTACCGGTTGCAAGTGAAAAACTTGGTTGCCCTAAAATACCGTGCATGGCAGACAGGTAAAAATTTGTAATGCTGCTCAGCACAACTCATTATTTTTTGGCATTTATTTGTATATTTTACCAACAGAATGCCTACATACTAATATGAAATGAAATTTCTTTTTGAAGAGAGAAGAAAAAAAGTTTAAAACAACAACACAATCAGGAGACTGGAAAACAATGCAATAAACAAAAATATAACTGAAAACACTGTCAATAAAAAAAATGCATCTGTACAGCTTTATTTAACATCTCTATTCAGTAAAGTGCACTGTTTAGCGAAAGTAATGCATGAATACTGTGTCATGAATCTCAGTGTAATCACTACATTTATGTCCCTGTGGGGGCTGCTCTCTCCTCTAATCCATCTCTTTATCCCAGCGTCTTGCTCATTACATAACTCTGACCTTTGTACCATGTCAGCTCCAACAGCTGGCCAAGGCTGTTAAACACCAAACAACATGCACTGAGAAGCAGCACATATTGGTTGTATTGGCTTTTATATGCAGGAGTAATACAATGAAAAGTCTTGATTTACATATAAATGTAGAGATTATTATTTGGTTACAGAGAGGTGAAACAGTCTCAGACATACTATGGAGCTGCAAGAATTCATTTATATTTATTGTTGATCCCAGCTACAGAAATGCATGTACTCAAGGATTTGCATCCTGTTAAGTAACCATATACAGTAGGCATTCAGCCTGCTTGTCCGTTGAAGCCTCTCAACCATTCATCTAATCAATATGCACAGAAAGAGAGAGAGAGAGGGAGGGAGGGAGCAAAGGAAAATAATGATGACGTTTGGACATTATTTTTTGCATTATGTGATTTTCTTCTAGCCTCTTTGTGAAATATACTTAGGAAAACAAACATAAAATGAAAAAAATAGTTACGGTATAGGAGACCAAATGTAACTAAACCTAAGTGTGGTGTTTTAGTAAAGACAAATATAAAGCATCTTCTGCTGCAGACAGGTGATAAAAGATGAAGAAACCAATGAGGACGAAGATATTTTACCCAATGCTAAATGATCCCAGGGCCCCTGAGTGAAAACAGAAAGTGCTTAAGGCTGTAAGGTACCAGCATCTGTTAGTTTCATCCACAGAAAATACACGGATTTGTATGAGTGATCAAATTAGTAGTCTTAAGCAGATTGTTCAGCACTTCATGACACTTTCAGAGATATTCTTCAAAGCGTCGTGTTGTACACTAATACTTTGGAAGTGATTACAGCTTTTCTTTTGCCACACTCCAGTT